GATATAGTGGCCACCATCAATCTTGTTCTTTTTCATTGGTTTACATCGAGTATAAAATAACATATTTTTCTATGGGGCGCATGTGACGCAATCGTTAGACTTGCCGCGCCATGTAGCACACATTTGGTTTTTGGTTCTGGGTAACCCATTCTATCCACTTTCCTTGTGTGTGGAGTAGATAGATTGAAAAAATTGACTTTTCTGAGAGGACAGAATCACTGGTTTCATGCACTGATGCACCGCCTGCGACCTATTCTTGCAGGATCGTGTCATTTTTTTAGCTGCCTTGTAAAATGTTGCAAATAATGCCGTAAGAACCGAAGTCGGAATAGCTGGGAAGTATCGAGCTCTCCAACGCACTCCATTTTCTTTTCCTTCAGAATGTGTTCTAAAGTGGCGCTAAGTATTTTTTGAGAGGTAGTGTCATACTCTGGATCCCTTCAAAGTTCTTATTTTGGAGTTATTCTACAGCCACAAAGAAATTCTATGTACTGAAGCTGCACAGAGATTCCATGACCGTCGTGCTTCAGATGACGTGTAGATCTCTTTTGCATTTATAAAAGTGAAGTCTAGAAAACACGTCGATGAGCTCAATATTGCATGAATATCAGGCAACATGCTGAACTTTTGAAGCCTTGCTGGTTAACACCATTGCCTCTTGTCCAGTATGTTGAAAATTCTGTTGAGGATTACTCGACTGAAGACATTGACGACAAAAGTGCTGATCTGACTGGACGTTAGTTGTCGATGTTTTTTTAGGCCCGTTCTTGTGCAACAGTGTATCCCTGCTGCTTGCCCATTGATTTGAAGCATCGAATTATGACGGGGAGCACGAGGGAAGCTGGGAGAAGATCGTTGAGACTAATAGCAGGTTCACCAAATATTTGCTTCTAATCTTGCTCGGACCTATTCTACAACGTTGATGGAACTTGTCTAACTCGGAAATATGAACGTTGGTGATGACATATGTGTGTTCTTGGCTTTATATGAAGTGAAGTCGACATAATTGTCGAAATAATGGGAGTATTCGTCGTGAGTGATCATCTCAGTCACCTTCTCAGTAGGGTGACTATTATGTAAACACCAAAGGAAAATCCTTCTGGTTTTGTTATTGGTAATGTCTCGGAGGGAGCTTTTAATTCCGGTCCCACCCTCTATAGCCTCATTCAATGCCATTGCTATTCTTTCCCTAAGATCTTTCGTAGCTCCTCTGAAGAGTTTCATAAATTCGAGCATAAGTTGGTGACTTGACAAGAATAAAGCGGACTCCACGTTGGCTCACCAACTTAAGATATTTTGAAGACGAATGTAATTCGGTTTACAATAAACTCTTGCATTTTTTAGCACTATTGTGAATGTTCTGAATGTGCTGGTCCCATTACCCATCGATTTTGTGGATAACTGTGTTTACCCTAAGGGCTACTCTGAACTAATAGTACTAAATACACGGCCGTAATTAAATGGAACACCCTCAAGAAAGGTAAATTATTAAAATCTCGATCCTTTCGCTTTATTGAAAGCTGTCTACCAAAAAAACAACGCCATGGTGGAAGCTTGTCTTTTCGTCATGCAACGTAGTGCAATCGTTCTTTTCCGCTGAATTCGCAGAATTAAATGGATTCTGTGTACTCGCTGTATTTATCGACTAGCAATGTTTTTGTTTGTTGAGGAGAGTTACACAGTAGGGACGACGCAATTATTCATATAACTGTGCTGTATCCCTTCTATACGGCTCGCCTTTATTATGTTCTTATTGTGTAGCGAGTGCTGCGCGAAACTGACGAGACGAGTTAGCTTTTTTCAAAAACATCCTTCTAATTAAGCTTTGCAGGAACTGTAGAGCAGATGAGAAGTTGGCATCACGTCACGTATTGAGTATAGTTTTCAGGAACAGGAAAAAATAAGGAGGGATTTCCTGCTGAGTTTGGTTCGGGATGGTGTTTTCAGTTGACCTCTGCTCGCTAGCATAAATTTCAGCCTACGATTCCTTTCACACCTGATTTATTCATGGAAATGTAGCATAAAGTATCGCCAACAGTAGCTGCTCCTATGTTTTAAACATTTTCTCACAGCTTCTTTTTATAATATTACCTGTCGATGTTCGCCCTAGCTCCGTGAAGGTCTCTCCGAGTTCTGACCTCGGAAGCATCATTTCATAATCGAACAATTCTTGAAAATCGCTGTTCCTTTCCAATAAAATTATGACACCACTAGCGCTGACATCGTTTGGCGATTCGAGTTTAACATTTTCCTTGCTGCGGTTTTTTTTCTTTTCTGTAAAACGGCAACTCTAACTTCTAAACCTGCGAAAATACAGTTTTACACAGTGAGCTAAAGAAAGAAGTCTGCCATAATGCTATTAACGACGTTCTCCTGAAAAAGCAAGTTCCCCCTAGCTTTCTAACGCAATTCCATAATTACTTCACGAGAGACTGCGGACATTCTTCTGCGCTCCGGCATCCGAAAGAAAATCGAAGCTTCAGCGGCGTAGATCCCTATCGTGGCAGGCTTCTACTCCCTCCGAACTGAGCCAAGCCCAGCTTCCAACGCCACAGAGAAATCGATTTGGTGGAGTTGGCCAGCCATCGGCTTCATCTGCTCCGACGGCTTACCTAACCGGTCCCATCGGAATCTCGCGTTTTATTTCGCTCCTAATCCTTTTCTGGTGTGACGAGTTGTAACTTTCCAATGACATCGATAAGCACGGATTTGAACTAGTGGAATAGTCTTTGTAAGTGGCAGGCGAGATTGTGCTCACAAAAGTGTGAAACGCCTAAAAAAAAAGTTTATTTTAACGACTGACTATGCTGTCATAATCGATCCTTCAACGACAGAACACTTTTAATACCAAGACAGAATATTTTAAAAACGAAAACACGACATTCTCTCCACGTTGAGTGGCTTTTCCGCTGCTTAAAATAACGCATATCGACAATTTTTATGGTAGTACGCCGTCAAAATTCGTGCTGTAACTCTATTTTGTGTTGCTTGCTGAATAATGCAGTATATCGACATCATGCACAATTCCCACAACCAGCGCCCCACTTCATAGTGCAATCCGTTGAAGAACGGCGCCAAACTGCCAGTCAATCACCGACATCTTAAGCCTTCTATTCATGCTTTCGATTTATCGATTGCGCCATTTTGAAGTCATTCTAATCGTATGCGTAGCGCTTCTAAAGCGCACCAATCTCAAGGCATTTTTGGAAACGATTTCATATGTCTGTGATGAATTTTCCCGTCAAGTGATTACCTTCCGTCGTCGAACGACGACGACGACGCGGCGGCGTCTGGTCGCATCGCGATGGATTCATGCTGCAGCTTATCGATCTCCCTCCCTTAGAGGCAGTCCTGGAAGCCGTGCACCGATCGCCGTCTACCTGAATACAAAGTACGGCCGATGTTATTCCCCTTCTGGATTACGACCACATTTTAACGTCTGCTGCACGTGTGGCTCGATCTGTATTCGAACTGTCTGATTGCCACTTCATAGCTCGTCCAACGACTTCGTGTTGTGACAACTAATACTTTTCACACATTTGACGTATTGCTTTCCAAATATTTGAACAGTAGATTCGCTATTTGTGTGAACAACAGCATCCATCAATATCTACGTCTACGAGAATTCTATTTTTACGATTTTCTCACTGTGTCAAGCAATATTTATCTTCCCTTCCTCCCTTAAAGTAGTATTTGTTTCAAGCTGTGTCCTTCTCGCCAGAACTTAAGAACAGATTTTTAGTCTGGAAGAGTAAAAGCTAGCCTATGTTTCCAGCTTTGGTAATATTTGGCAATGCTGGTTGATTTTCCTCACTCGCCTCCGTTTTCAACGATCTCGTTTACTTACTTTACAGATGGCAGCCGCTGGAGGACACCAACCGGCTCAAGGAGACCAGAACTTTGACTATATGTTCAAGGTGTGCTTTGCTTCCATTCCTTGTTGAAAAATTTGTTTCATAAGTTATTTTCTCGCAAACGTGTTTAGAACTGTTTTATTTTGATTCTACTATTTCTTAGACATGGATAGGGTGAAAAAATGAGAACATATTTTGAAGGACACTAAAGTGAATAGGACAGAATTCTTCTCCAATTCGAAATCTTTATCTCATTATCTACCTACGTAGATGCTTATTTACCTGAACTCTTAGAAATGTGTCGTAATGCGCTCTTAGACTACAATATCTTCTCGTAATGGTCCATGTTTCCGTACTGGAGAGAGAATTGTAAGAAGACTAGAAACAACTCCCCCGGTAGATTGCTGTGCTACTATTGATTCCACTTTAGTCGATGTTCCAACGTCATTCCCAGTAATCGCCTAAACCCGCTTTCCATAGGCGGGTTGACTTTTTGCGAGCACCTTGAACAGTGTGTTCACTCTCGTAATTTTTGATATTTCGTGTTTCTTCGTTGTTGGCGAAAAGAAACAGTGGCACCAAGATGGTTCATGATTACTTTCGATTTCTACCCCAACAGAACTCCAGAAGCAATAGGAGACAACACTTCTGAAGAGGATTTCTAATCAGCGTTAGTCGCCACCTTGCCAAAGCACAGATGACAAATCTTTAACAAAAATGAAAGGTTGAGGTGACCATCACACCTAAGCTGTCCCAACCAAATCTTTCCAACTATAGTTGATCGCAGAGAATGTCCTATACCTTCAATTTCAAAAGTGGATACCTCCGTCCATCTTTAACTAATTTAGCGAAAACACGCTGAGATCTACATATTCGGGAAAGTGACAAGAAAATTGCCAAGTTTAATGACAAAGAAATGGTTTGCTTTTGTAGTCCATGATTTTTTCTCGCTTCATGTCGTCGAAGCCCGTATCTCTTCTAATGGAGCCTGTGAATAAACGTGTCTCCTTTCACAAGAACGTGATGGTGTTTCCGAGCTCATCGTTGACACTGACGAAAGCAGCACTCGTGTTTAATACTTGCAAAGTTTTTTAGGATATTACTAATCTTAAATCGAAGCTACTTATCTGACAACAACATTTTTAATACATGTGCCGATTGTTGGGGCTACGTGCGTTGTAAAAGTTTGTCGAGTCCTAAGGTCCTCAAACACCCTATTTGTTGGAGAATAATTCTGGCAGTTGCTGGGAAATTGCCCCGGCCGTCTATGAATGCCAAGCTGTTACCTCACTGCCACATTTGACGGCGGAATATTCACTGAATCTTCTGAGCATTGACTGGAAACTGGCTGCGAGATTTCTCCTCTGCGAAAATGGCTTCGCCTCAAAAAGTCTTTCCATCGACTTTCGTTTTTTCATAGTTTCATTTCTCATAATTTATAGCCCCTTCTGCGCTATGAATGACGATTTTCATTAAATATGTTTCGTTGGACTACCACGTGATAAAGTACCTTCAGATTTGGTAATATTTTCTGTGAAATCCTAGTTTGTCCAAATTTACCGATAGTTCCGCTTTTTTCTTCCTATTGATTACTTTCCTGTTTTCAGTTGTTGATTATTGGCAACTCATCAGTGGGGAAAACGTCGTTCTTATTCCGCTACTGCGATGATTCGTTCACATCCGCATTTGTTTCGACAGTAGGAATCGATTTCAAGGTAAGAACCATCGTCGTTCTTTCTTAGGTATTGGTTCGTAGAGCACATTTTACTAAGGGAATAACTTCAACCCAGTCTGATGCTTGTCTTGTTTAAGGTGAAAACCGTATTTCGAGGTGACAAACGCGTAAAACTGCAAATATGGGTGAGTAAGCCAGAATTTTTCGAATCCTTCTAGATTTCCTCATGTTACTAAAAAGTGGAATTTGTGGGCTTCTATTTCTCATTCAGTATTTCATACTGCTTTCGTAACAGAAATCATAACCAAATCATTCTTCACTGTTGACCTTTCTCATCATCAGGCACGAGATACGGTGTCTTTAACTCGTAAGACTCAGCGCTGAAGCTTCCATGCTGTGATGAGGCCTAATTTTATGTCCTCTACAGACTTGCTGGTTTCTAGACACCACACAATGATTTTCTACATGCTAGATGAGCTGAAAAATTGAGCGTATTGTGGCATATCTGCTACAATTTCCATATATTACTATGGCCATCATACAACCCCTTACTATCGTTATTCAAAAGTGTTTGTCAACTTACTACTTACTTATTTATTTGATACTTGAATGGCCCGTCCACACTGGTTGTGCAGGCTCCACCATAATCTCTTTTTTTCGGAGATTCGCTGGTTAAGTCGTTGTGGCTCCCTGGAATCCCGAGCTCAGCCTGGCCAAAGCGTACCCCAGACCCCAGATCTTCACCATCACAGGCAGTGGCAGCGCTTGTAGATCAAAGAGAGATCTACCACTATGCGACTTTGATACCAGGACGGTGGTGGATCCTGGTATTGGTTTACTCTTAGATAGGCTTCCTGATGGAAACGCCGGACTCCTCAGCTTGGAAGACCCTGCCACGAGATGAATCCCCTGCAGGACATCGTAGTCCGACACCCAAGAACACCTCCCAGCCAGATAAGGCGGTAAACGGTTGGGAGGTTTGTCAACTTATGCTGAGAGTATTTCTACAATTTTTTTTCCTGTGCACTCCATACTATAGTAACTGGTTCATCATAGCAGTTGAACGGTCACTACGTTCGTTCGCCGAAAGGTTTTTGTAAATTATTAAGTGTAGAGGGCAGTTTTTCACAAGCTAAGCCTGATGTGACATCCGAAGTTACCGATGAATTTTATAAAAAGCGCCGTAAAAAACTTTAAATAGTAAAATAAATCACTGAGAGAGAAGTGCATAGAAAATCTCGGGCGTTATGTTTTGTTAACACAGTGGGCCATATGGATCTAAGTGTGTCTATTTAAACTCATATGTGGACAAAAAGGTAGTGGTTTCACTCTAGTCCATATATCTCTGCTAATATTGATTATTATTGCGAACTGAATTTCATTTTCTATGGACTGAAATATCATAAAAGCAGTGTGATCGATAGGTTTTTTTAGTAAGACAAATGCGCTCACTATGCTGTTTCCAATTTTCTCTGGGTTTTCTTCTTGAAGAAAGAAATCTTTTTCGCTTTTTTCTTTCTTCGACGCCGCCATTCTGAGCACCGAATCCGAGCGAGATTTCTTCAATCAAAATTTCACTCAACCTGATGCGCTAATGTTTTCGTGCTCGGGGTTGATGTTGCCTACTGGCACTATTTCTTTGAAACTCATGGAAAATCAATGTTTTTTTTTGGACCCTATGAAAATTTTAGCTTCGGACAAATTCGAAAGTCAGCATGATGCTTTAGAAAAGGTTTTAAATAAGTTTACCATGTCCTCATCATTGAAACATTTCTGCTGTTGCCGAGAGAGCAACATCATCTGTCATATGACGACAATATTTTTGGGCTATTTTGGTTTTGCCATTGATCCGACATGTAAGTTTCATGGGCATAAAATTATGGCTTTGAAAGAAGCAATTACAGCTGTGATAAAATAAAGTTCTTCGCAAAATTCCAAGATGAGTAACGAATCGAGTGAGACATTGGCGTGAAGTTCCCTCGAAGCTCTGAGTTTTGAGTTAGATGGCATTCTACCATGAGGCAGACAACTCCCACTGTGAGGGAGCCATCGGGTAGACAGTGGTTGCTTCGCATCATTTCCACAAAAGCTAATAAAATCTGTTAATTTTCTCATCCATAATGTCCTTTTTTGTACAAATTTGAACTCCTTCAATTAGTAATCCCTCATTGTCCCCCACACTTCACATCGCTAATGTTTTTATCACCATCAGGAAGCGTTTGAAACCATCACCTTACACCGTATGCCCGTTCTTGTTTCTATGAGCAAATAGATCGTCCATGGCAGCTTTTGATCTGCGACGAACAATGAGTTTATTCGACGGGTATAGCATAATGATTAAAGTGCTTTGTAATACATAAATAGTCGTTGTATGGATGTCGCTCGAAATCACGAAATTAAACTAGCCCTTCATTCCTCCATGCGGCATGTCGGTCGCAGCCTTGACTGGGAGCATAAAATCACTGCTTTGCTACTTCCAAGCCTCAAAACCTACTCCGTGGGCTAAATATGCATTCAGTCAATTCTTTTGTGGTTAACGAGTTCTAATACATGGCAAAACAACCCGGGATGTCAAAAAGGATTAGTAGGAGCCGAACGTATTAGCTTTTTAACTTATTATTTTTTGCCTACTCTTTTTTTTTAATGGCAGAGTATATTGCGAAATATAACTTCAATGATGCTGAAATATTTGCAAAACTCCCGACCACAGGTGTACGCGGTGAGGGACGAACGCGCTATTGTCCTTTCCGGGGTGTAACGCGTTCACCGCCACACCATGCGAGTCATTCATTTCGCCTGTCTCTCAGCTAGTTCTATCGATCTTTGCCACAGCAATCAGCCATCAGCGGGATTGATCTGGGGGGGGAGGGGGGCCCAAATCGACATTGAACCCAGGTTAAGCTGAGGCTGTGGTTATAATCACAATTTTAACTTTTTATTTTCTGCCTACTCTTTTTTTAATGCAAAGTATATTGCGGCACTGTGGCAAAAATCGATAGAACTAGCTGAGAGACAGGCGAAACGAAGGACCCTCATGATGTGATGGTGAACGCATTACTCTCCGGAAAGGACAATAGCGCGCTCGTTCCCCACCGCATACACCTGCGGTCCGGAGTTTTGCAAATATCTTAGCATCATTGAAGTTATATTAGCTTTTGTTCTTCTACCTTTGCTATATCTTGTTGGCTGACCTCTCTATCCCTTTAGTGATTCTTTCAGTGATAGAGGAGTCAACTGTCAACACCAAAGTAGATGTTGATAATTTGATCTGTCTCAATTACAGGAAAAGCAACCTACTAATGTGTCACAAAATTTCCTTCTTGAGATCCTCACTGCATAATTTTTTGTAACGACATCTGAAAGCGAAGTTTATTGCATCACCTCGGATGTCGTTTAAAGATTTCTTATGAGCTGCCATGCTGTCCTGAAAAAGCCTACGGAGAATAATTAGCGAATGATGGAACAGAACTTAAGGTTCTAGCAAAGGTATTTGTGCTCACTATGGTGACTCCACAATGAGGGAAGTTTGATTTTGAAGAAAACGACAATTAAGGAGACCACATAGGTTAAACCAGGCTTCTAATCTGGAAGCTTGATGTGTTGAATGAAAATAAGTGGAATGATCAGTCAACGACATGTGTTTGTACTCAGAAACCTTTGAAAATGCTTATCTTATTTGTGACACGCAGTACTGTTTCCTGCACTAGTGTTTTACCTCACGAGTGACGCTCTAAAATTATCAAAGTTACATTGATATCTACAGAAATTGAAGTATAGCCACCAGGATGCTGAGATATATGCAAACCTCAGAGGTGGGGTTCAAACCTGCGGCTACATTTACCGGGGACTCTTGCGCTATTCACGACACCAACCGGTGCGCCTTGGCTTGCATTTCTCTCAGCCATGTTTCTACCTCATTGTTTGCTTTCATCAATTACCCATAAACGGCAATAATTTATCGAGCACAAATCGCACTGAGATCAGTTAAACTAGAGCAACAGTTGAAATCACAATGTGTTAACTTCTTTTTTACTGCGCATTCGTTTTTCATGGCACGGGATGATGTGAAGCACAACCACAATTGTCCTGAGCAAAACTCGGATGTAGGCTTCGAACCTGCGATTACTCCTAACTAGGTCTAATGTCAATTTGTTTTTTCCAGTTAGTTTCCGTTGCTGACTGATTGCTGATAGTAAAGCTAATCATGGCTTCGTAGCCCACCTGAAGTGCCAAGTTTTACTTGTGTCTCAACATATTTGTGTTTCTACTCCACATCGTCTCTGCTTTGAAAAAAGAGTAGACAGTAAACTAGAAGTTAAGACATGTAAATAAAAATATTGGAACTCACTAGACGACCACGTTCTCTCAAATAGATCTGAAATTCTTACAAAATTACAAGCTGTTTTCTTGGAAAGTTTTGAAACTTATGAACTGTTTAGAGAGTACGTCTATCCATACTTAAGAACACTTCTACATACTCCCTGATACACTGATACACTAGTACTGCCACTAATCACCAAGTGACTCGAGTGGCATCATTAATTGTGTATTCGTCCCTATCACTCAATATAGCCACACAATGTGCTTCGCAATCACGCCCTTTATGCATATGAGGACACATAAATCAATCTGGAGCCGCAGAACTGCGGAGAATCTCTTTTGAACTCACTGCAGTTAGTCGGGTTTGGTCCTCGATTAAACTCTAACCTATAACACTACTCGGAGCGCCCCATGAAGCTCCAGGATCCCTTCAATGAGGGAAATCCATTAAGCTCAAGTGCAGCACACGTTCAGGATGTGCTCTTGTTAGTTGGGTCAATTTCGAACCCATCACTCCTGTTTTGAAATGCTAATTTTGTCGTGGTAAAAAAATTTTCTACATGGCAATGCTTCACTATAAGAATATAAGAAAATAGCTTAAAAGCCACTCTTGCTGTAACATTGTGGGAATTCATTGCAGGACACAGCCGGACAGGAACGCTACCGTACTATTACTACGGCATACTATCGAGGTGCAATGGGTTTCATTCTCATGTACGACATCACTAACGAAGAGTCATTCAATAGTGTACAGGATTGGTAGGTCTTATGAAAGTAGCCGTTATAATTTGCTCACGCGAATTTCTTTTATTTGAATGGTTCCAGGTGCACACAAATCAAAACCTATTCGTGGGAAAATGCACAAGTCGTCTTAGTAGGCAACAAATGTGACATGGATGCCGAACGAGTAGTATCCATTGAACGAGGGAAACAGCTCGCTGACCAGCTAGGTATATTTTTCCTTTTCACATAAAGGATAAGTAAAAAAGGATAAAATTTTCGGCGTTGATCAATCCCTTAAGAATGCGCCATGCATTCGACTTCATTAAGCATTGCTCGGAAGTGATTGAATGCAGATCTGGCCTTTACAATGACTTGCGGTTGCCTACTGATGTATCGAACCAGTGCTGCTATCCTCTCAGACAAGTCTCGTACCAATTCGCCGATCCCGGAGTGATGGAAGGCTTGGTGGGCCATGAGCGTGGGGATCGATTCCACCCACATGTGTGTTGCCTCCGACCACTGCTCCACACACGCCACATTTTAATATAGACTAACATAAAATTGAAGGGTAATTATTCAGTTGCTTAGATATGTGCAACAAATCGCTGGTGCACATGCAGTGCTGTAGTGAGCGGTTTCTTGAAATACAGTGTCGGATTTCGGATCTCACGCTCAAAAGAAAAACACGTTATCCATCTCTTCCAAATGTGAAAAGTGACATTTATCTGGTTGAATAAAAACACTACCTGCATAGATCGGTAGTCTCCCACAAACGTTGTGCTTTTAACCGCCTCCGACAATAGATAAACTCGGAGGTATAGCGCATTCCTAAGATGGTTATCAATGCTGAAACCTTTGTCCTTCGACCTTTATTATACAACTTAAAGGGTAAGCAACTTACTTTTTACTTATATTTCCGGTGGAAAGAGATTGAATGCTGCTTTGGGGTGTAATCTACTTAGTTGTGGATTTTTTGCAGGACTTGAGTTCTTCGAAACATCAGCCAAGGAGAACATCAACGTTAAAGCAGTTTTTGAGAAGCTCGTCGAGATAATCTGCGATAAGATGGCAGAAAGCCTCGATAAGGTAAGACGCTAGCGATTATTGACGGAATCAGTTGAACTCATTGTTTATACTACTATATACCTTTGTTCACATGGAAACACATCCATAATGTTTAGATATTTATTAGATGCTATGTTATTTTTTAGCGACATAATATTGTGTGAAATAAAGTCACAATGATGTTGAGATATTTGCAAAACTAGGAACCCCAGGCCAGTTTCGAACTCGCAATTACTCCCTCCGCGGGGCTCAACTGTTACCCATTGTCGTCCCACTGAGGCCATTGATTAACCGTTCTCTCAGCCAATTTTTTACTCTGCAATCATCAGCAATCACCCATCAACGGGACTGGTCTTGAAGCACAAATCGGCATCGAACCCAGTTAAGCCGAAGCGGCATTGGGAATATAACGGAACCCACAATAATTTTGAAACATCTACAATGTTACTGAAAAGGTCTTTACCAGTTATCTGTATATTAATTGGGAAAGAGCAAATATTGTTTCATATATCGCTTTAAATTAGCCTTTAGTTTTCTTGTATGATTTTAGCGATCAAGAAAGTTAACTGAAGTTGGTGTTCAACCTCAAATTGTGCTAGCAATAAGCCCACTCTCTTAATATTTGTTTAAAAACAAACACTTCAATGAAAGATACCAGAGAGAAACCAGAATTACTTGTTAGATTTCCTAGATACCTGCAACTATGAGTTAGTATACCGCTGCTCCCGACCCGTTCTCACTTACTCCATAACCTTACACTTTCTGCAACGCCTACTTTAATGGAGGATACCAAAGAGTAACTAATCCGATTAGTTGTGAAAGTAACAGTGGAAAACGTTTTTGGAATTAGAAGTGGACCACATCCTAGATGTCTGCATCAGTGTGATAACACATCATTGGTTCCGATATCTCGTCGTTCACTCCATAACCCTGCCCACGTCCTTTACCACATGTCACCCTAACGGGGATCGGGTCGTGGTTACGTTTAGCTGAATGATAGTAGTAACAATGTTCTTCTAACTACTGCTGACATCGACTCTTCATTTCTCATTTAGGATCCACAACAACAGCCGAAAGGTCAGCGGCTTGACGCGACCACAAATCAGAAGCCGCCAGCACAACAGTGCAATTGCTGAGGGGTTCTTCTCATTGTTGTACCCTTCACTTCTACTATTTGAGACATAGAATCACACTGAAGCAGTAGGCATTTATTTTTTCCCGCTTTGATTTTTCCATTGACATCACTGGCTACTAGTTGACCCTCATTTTTTTAACGAATATGTCCCGGTACCACTTGATTTCTCTTCCTTTCTCTTGACATTTCTTGTCCAATTGAAAGTCCTTTCTTCTTTTTTCTTTTCTGTTTTCCTCTAACTAAGAGCTGAAATTGTCAAAAGATTTACAGAAATTGCTTAAGACCTTTTTCTAAAAGACTAATCGTTTCCTCCGCAATCGCTTTAAGCAATATTATCTTACCGTATTTATTAGAGAATCTTTATTTATTATTTATATACTTACATTATCCGTTTATGTAATTTATGGCCACGTGCATTAAGGTTCTTCTTATTGATAATACTTTAATCATTCCAGGTGTATATACGAAGTGATTGTAATGTAAACGATCGTAATCTCATTATTAATAAAGGTATCCTTCCAGTTCTTGTACTACATAGGCTCGCTGCATTTACTAGGAGACTTGTGAAGAACCTAATAAATATCTCTAGAGGTCTTAAGTCTCCAAAGGTCATAAACTGGTCTGTTATCAATGATGTTCATAGAAATGACTAATTCATAGAGCCTCGTGAAACCTCTCGACGGTTTACCATGGTGGATGGGGGGTGTTCCTGGCTGTTGGACTACGATATACAGCGAGGAGATTTATAACTCTGGTAGGGTCTAGCAGGCTGAGAAGGAGTTCAACACTTCCATCATGAAGCTTAACTAGGAGTAAACCAATACTAGGATCCATCACCGTCCTGTCACCAAATTAATAGCATAGTGGCAAATCTCCTTCTGGTCCACAAGGTCTCCAACTGCCTGTGGTGGTGACGACCTGCGCTGTGGTCCGCACAACCAGTGAGGGCGGGCCATTAAAGTATCCAAAGAAGTAAGATGTTCATAGAATCGATGGAATTTTCAAAAATCGTAAAAAAAAGGGACAAGATTTGGCCTTATGGTAAACAAAAATACGTAAGTGTTCACTGATTTTTCGCAGGAACTACACGGAAATATGTGAACAACAATGCAATATGACTTGTTAAATTGTTTGCTTTCACTTAGGATTTACTCTAGAATTATCTACACGCGTGTATCTTCCGGAGCTATTGAGCTTCCCAACATCTGGTTTTGTCGGCTTCGTAGACAAGTGCGCAGTATTCGAATACTGAGCTTCCCAACTTCGTTTACGACATTTGTACCACCTTCTTTACACGAAACTCCACTCAGGAGCAAAATAGCCACACGATGTGGTAGTTAAACAACAAACCGATGTTTAACACTAAGCGACAGTTAACCCGCCAGTAGTGCCACTGGTTAACGTACTTTTTTCTATTTGAAAACTCTGTGGCAAGGAGAATCGTCGTACTACCGGAGAGCAACCGCTTCGAGTTTGCACTTCCAAGCTAGTCCATGGTCCTCGGTGGTGAGCGATAGTGAAAAGAGTGAAGCATGCCTATCGATTAGCGGTTCGAATCGAATCGAAAGGCCCATTTCTAAGAACCCAAATTTATGTGTATAATAATGGAAAAGAAGCTTATCAGTTTATTCCCAGTCCCTAAACGGTTTTCAGATATAAACAATATTCATGACGAATTTTTGATTTAGCCGTTTGTTAACTCTTTTATTTACTGCCTTTTTCTTCTTGATGGCAGGGTATGTTGTGAAATATAACTCGTATGAAGTGCTGAGATATTTGCAAAACTCCGGACCACAGGTGCATGCAGTGGGGAACGAACACGCGCTGTTATCCTTACCGGGGAGCAGCGCACTTCACCACTACACCATCCGGGTCTGGGATGTAGACATGTAGTGGTGAAGTGCGCTGCTCCCCGGTAAGGACAACAGCGCGTGTTCGTTCCCCACTGCATACACCTGTGGTCCGGAGTTTTGCAAATATCTCAGCACTTCATACGAATTAGCCGTTTGTCTTCGGTATCTGATTCGCATAGTAGTGTTCTTTCTCAAACAAGATTCCACATCTAATGACCCATCCATCCATTCATTTGTCTTTTGATAATTTTCTACATGGCTCAAATAGAGATCAAGAGTGCGTGTGGCGGAGTGGTTGGAGGTGCCCTGCAACACGCAAGTGGAATCGATTTGCGTGCCCATGGCCCACCAAGCTTTCCATCCACCCGGGGTCAGCAAATTGGTACCAGATCTGTCTGGGAGGATAGCAGCACTGGCTCGATACATCGAGAGGCCACCGCAAGTCATTGTAAACGCCAGATATGCATTCAATCACCTCCAAACGACACTTAATGAAGTCGAATGCACGGCGCATCCCTCAAAGATTGATCAACGCCGAGAGCTTTATCCTTTTTTATCCTTTATGACTGAGATGACCGGAAATTGGTATTGGGATCACACGAGGCTGGTAAACCGTCATAGAAGATTGTTGACCATTTTTACCGAGCTTTAATAAAAAATAGTTTTCAAGACACTGACATGCAACGTGCCAGCAAACAAAGTACCGAATGTTACAGGGCGCACTCCATGCCACAATGCAGATCATAATGGATATCAAGAATCGTCCAACATCCGTCGTGTATAAAAGGACACCCCCCGCTGAAGCTTCCCATTGGAGTCGTGATCGCTCCACTGGATTCAACTCGATGAGAAAACGAAGACGTACATATAAGGACGGGCGGCTGTGGACGATCGACAGCAATCGGTCTGACTCTGAAGAAGGTGACCGCGCCGAAACGTTACCCGAATAAACTTTTTGCCAACTTCACTGCTGCTTTTCTTCCAAATGAAACAAAGAAAGACGTATTGCGACCTAACAAACGAGAAGCTATTTCAACCCTCTATGCTGTTATAGTGCAGTGATCGAGATCTTGGCCCTCAGCAACGGTTTATCATCGCGTCGCAGTTACAAAAGCAACCGTGTTAAATTCTTATGTAGGATGAGCGTATGATCTCACGATAGTATTACTGTTGAAGTTTGACTCTGTTATTCAACAAAGGCAACGGAGGATCACGTCACAGGTATACGCCGACAATTTTTCGAATGTGATTCATGTAGGCGGATCTTTTAAAGGAGAAAACCTCGCGTTTCCTTCTTTTTCCACAACAGCTTGGATTCTTTTGCAGGGCTCTTCTCATTTGGCGTGTATCGCCAGTAATGTGAACCATTTTGCAGTGAGATCAAGCTTCAAATTTTCTTCATCCTGATAATTTCAATGATGGTGTAGTATTGATTTAAACTCATAGAAGAAATATAGAAAAGAGGCAAACACGGAAAATACTTGAGACTTTATGGAAAGCGTATTCGTTGCTTTAGAATTTTGGATTACGTACACTCGTGTCGCCACCCCAGTAATCAAACGCCTTTAAAAATTAGGTCTTAATCTCTGATTTATCAGATCCATTGCGCCTTCATACTATGTGATTGCTGATCATTGTGGATCGAGGGAATATTTACCTCTTAGCGACCATGCCCTCGTCTAAAGCAGTGGGCAATTCCTATACAAGCTAGGATGAGATTCCAGAAGAAAACACTAAGCACTTTCGTCCATTTTGAATTAGTAAACTGCAAGATGAATCTGCTGCTTTACAAAGCAGTTCAGCGTTGCGAGACAGAGTTTCACCATGGTGAATAGATGAATCATGCAAGGTGTCTGACTAATTATAAAAATGTATAAGTATCTCATAGAGATAGAAGAGTTCATCAAAACAAGCTTCCCAGATCTATGAATAAGATCAGCGGCTTGTATGCTACAAATCAGATACCACAATTTCATAGTATGAAAATATCGAAATCAGGAACGAGGATGAGGATGAGGGAAGGAGGAATGGAGGTAATCACAAAGATGATCAGTTATGAACAAAAGTGAAGAATTTAGGTGGACTTCGAACCCCGATAACTCTTATCACTACAACCACTGCGTAATGTTTTCTTGGAGCAGAAACGTTTAGTTGCACTAATCGTTAAGGATTATCGTGTGTTCGAAGCCCAACTAAAGGTCTGAGTTCTACTTATATCTTGGCATCCTTGCGCCTGTAGTTCACATCGTACCCTACTATGAAGAAGGAACATGCAGTAAATAAACGTTAAGGCACTGTGATTAACAAGTAGAATTCCATTCCTTTATTTCAGCTGTCCTATTTTTTTTCTTCTCGCCCTTCTGTTCACTTTATTGTACGTTCCGTCTTTCTTACTTCGTCTTTTCCTTTACGTCTCTCCTTCTTTCCTTCCTTCTTGTTTACATCCTTCATAGTTTTTTCTCCTTTTCTTCCCTTCTTTCCTTTCACAGTTGCCTAACGAAAGAAATGATAGAGCTTTTTCTCTGCTTAGGTTGCTCTGTTGGCGACAAAATGACACTGTAGATCACAGTTCACGATCTAGAAAAATGTAAATCCTCATGCAAATATCTTTTGCAGTTAACATTTATTATCACCCTTGTTAGGCATGCTGCAGTAGGATCAAGCACTAGTGTTCTTCTCTTTTCGAGCAACTCAGAGTTGTAATGGTGATGCGGTCTCAACGTCTTTTTTGAGGAACTGAAGCCAGCTCGGCACAACGCAAGTTTTGAACCCTTCGACGAGCAACATGTAGTCCTCGGTCAGTTCTTCATTTATCTATCACTCATATGAGGAAAGGATTTTATTGGGAAATTTCTCGTCGTCATGGACGACATTCTTCTTTTTTCTTGGGAGACGAAAGAAGTTTTTTCACAACCTATGGCTGAATTGAATCATCGCAAGCAGAAGGCTGTAATTAGATTCAGTACGGAATTCAAGCTCCACTGAGGTGCCAAGGAGGCACCACTTTCCCTTCGTAAGAACATAATCGGTCTACGCATATCCATTGGTGATGTTCTCTGTTCTCTTAAAATGAAATACCAAAGAAGAGATGTTCCTCCGACCAGAGTCCTAGAAGGCGGTTTCCGTCCTTATTTCAATCTATAATTCC